AGCTGTTAAAATACTAGGAGAGCATGCAAACTCCCCACAGGAGGTGGCTCAGTCCATTACTGACCTCGCAGCTCTTGGGCCCTGGGTTATCAACGGTACCCACTCCACCGTGCCATCGCTATTTAAATGATTTTTTAAACCATTCCTAGCACCACATTTTAGTTCTCTTGCTCATTAAGGGTCTGGTCCCTCTATAATTTTTAATGCTGCACAAAAAGGGCTTCACAAAACGAGCATTTAAGAATTACTGTAATTACTGGTTACTATGTGAACTGGAACAACATGTGTAGATATATTTAATGGTTGCTGAAAGCTGTGAATGAATTTTGTGGTTGTGGATTCCCACTTATTTTTTAGTAATTGGTTCAAAGCTATTTTTGATTTCATTTTTCTGGATCTTACTATGAGCCCTGCCTGTGACCAAGCCTGCTGTTCACTATATTCTCCACAGAACAGAAGGTGCTAGTTTATCTGAGGCACAGAGCCCAGCCCATCTTCCCCAGTAAAATACTCAAGTTGACCAATTTCCCCACAGGGTCCCCATTCCAGAACGTTACAGGTACACCATCCTGTATCAGTACTGTGTTTGTGGATACTCCATTTTGTGGTAGGTGTTTTGTTTTGTTTTACAGCCATATCCTAGTGTAGGGTCCTCAGGAGAGGAAAAATAGCTATTCAGGGTACTGGGTGTTCTGTAGGAAGAAACCTGACCGTGACAGTTCAGATGCTGTGACGGAACGACCCCAGTAGTTTGTGACTCTGGGTGGGCAGGTGGGACAGTACTTACTCCCTGGGTGCCCACAGCTTCCAATTCAAACCATTTAAAAAAGGGTTAACCTTTGTTTCCAGTTTAGAAGGGTGGCTGTTTATGCCAAGTTTTAACCACAGCGAAATAATATATCATATTTCACACTGCTGTGTTCAAACTGGGGGCTGTATGTGCCTCTCGATACTGGACCCGATCTCGGGCTGATGATGTTGGGCTGGAGGGTAAATTCTGAGGGTCTTGGTGTCTCCCAGGATGGGATTTTTCATGTTCCTCCTCTGCCACTGTCCCAAAAGCTGAAACCCTGTAGCTTTTAAATCTGGTATTTGTCCAAAACACGGGTCACAGCAAACTGACAGCTTCCTATGCAGGCCAGCTGCCCCACCCTCTCCGGAGTCGCACTGAGCTCAGAAAGTCTCTCCTTTGAGCTGGTTCTGCAGAATCGCGCTTTCTTGAAGCTCTTCTGGTTTTATTGTTTCGAAACGGCACGGCTTTGTCATTCTCCCTCGGTCTTAAACGGGCGAATGGGAAAGATCTCGCGTATGTTTCAGGCTCGGGAAAACGGCGGCTTTAAAACAAGAAGGCAGCTCCGGGCTCACGTCAAGTGTTAACTTCAACGCTGCTCTTTTCGAGCGGTTCATATTCGTACTCTGCGAGGTATCGCAACTCTGCAAGACCCAAAGCCAAAATCCCATGCTGTTCACATTCAAAACTGAGAAGTTTCCCTCACCCTCACGACATAGTGACAGGTAAAAAAAAAAAAACCCACAGATGTCAATCGGTCAATTAATGAAGGAGCGACAACAGTCACTTTTCGGTGCAGTTTTTTTTTTTACCGAACAGAAACGTCTGGCGTGAGGGGCTCTCGCCTTCAAGACTTGAGTTGTGCAGGCCCCCGCTACAACATAACGTTTCGTGTTCTCCCGAGTTGCAAAGGCAACAGAAGTCACCGTGTTACAACGACACGCACTGCGCCCACAGCGAAGTCGCTTTGCCAGGCGAGCCCGCTACAACGTCGCCTCCAGCGCACGCAAGCCCCCTGACCGAGCAGCGCCGGAGACCACTCGGGTGAGCCCGGCGATTCCGCATCAGCCGGGTGTCCTCCGAGGCAGCAGAAAATAGGTCAGTCAGTCCCCAGACCCAGAGCCGTGGGACAATCTCGGCCAATGCAGGCGTTCGGTGGAACCAGACCGATAAAAAGACGTGTAAAGTACGCGAGAAAGCACTGTCACGTCCGCATGCCACACGGTCGACTGAATAAAACGAAAAGTGGATGGGTTACCTCAGAAAACACTCCGTCCCTCAGAATGGCCGAAAATCTCGGGCACTTCGGTTTCCTTCGGGGCAAACTTTTTCCTTTCCTCGTCTTCCCCAAATCCTCCCCGCTGCACAGTGTTCTTTTCTCCTTCTTCGTCTTCAGACTCGGTTTCCTTAGCTCGGAAGATGACAGGCACTGCGGGTTAAGGTGGCGAGCAGAAAGGGAGATTGAGAACCATTGTCGGTAATTTCTGTGAAATGGGTGGAAAACCGGGGAGAGATGGTTTCTTTTTTTTAAAAAAAAAATATATATATATACAGGAGCTCTTGTCAGTTTCCAAGGGATACGACCATCATTTCGCCCTTCGGAAACCTCGTTCGGAATGTAAACTTTAATCTTCAGTTTGCATTAGTAGCAACAATATGCCACCAGTTATGTGTTATCGCAGTAATTTTCGCAGACGAAGGAGGTGCATCGCTTATTCGCGACGGCGGTCACGGGCTTTTCTTGCGGGGCGCGCAGAGAGAGAGAGAGAGAGGGAAGAGGGGGCTGCCCCTTGTTTCTGGTCTCCGAGATCCACCCGTCTGCGCCGTGTGGAGACGAGTGGTGAGGTGGTCGCTCTCCCAGCGGCTGTCTGAAGCAGACAAGCCCGGACTAACGCCAGCCCGTGTCTCCCTGTTCTCACAGACCAGCCCAGACCCTGCCAGCTCAGCGCATGCCTCGCGCTCCTCCCATTGGCCCTCGCGGCGCTCGGCTCCGGTCCAAAGGTACTCTCGGCTCTCCCTTTTTCCCCCCGTTTCTCTCTTTTTTTTTTAAAGGACACCGCGTCAATTTCGCTTCCTGGACTCGGGAATCGCTGCCCTTTTCGTGCACGTTGTATACTGCGTGCAGCGTCTATATGTTATTGCTGTTGACGCGACATCAAACAGGAAATTGTAGCCTTGCTGCCCTTCAAATATCTGTCCAGATTCTCCATTTACGTTTCTCCCGCTCTTACATCAAATGTTTAAGATCGTCTGGGGCTTCTTTTTTTTTAATTTGTAGAATTAATTGTCTGATTGTAGCTTTATTTCAGTTGATTTTGATAGTACATTTAAAATACTTGGTGCCATTGAATGTAGAGGAAGGAGCTTAAATCCGAGCCCAGTTACTGAAATATCTTTTTTTTTTTTAGATTAGGCCTCTGAAGAAATAATTTCTTTTATTTAATTTTGTGAGTCTGTGTGTGCAGTTTGCATGTTCTCCCCGTGTTCATGTGGGTTTCCTCCCGCTGTCCAAAAACATACTGGTAGTTGGCTTCTGGCAAACCTGGCTTTGGCGAGAGTGTCTGTGTGCCTGTCCTGTGCTGGACTGGCGTCCCATCCGTGGTGTGTCCTGCCCTGTGCCCGTTGCTTGCTGGGATACACTCTGGCTTCACTGTGACTGTGTACTGGATGAAGCAGTTAGAGATGGTATGGTACCTGGGAGAACTAAAGATATCTGTTTTTTGTTCCCACCTAACAAGTCAATAAAATAATTAAATCGTATTATTTTAGACATATATAGGACTTATGGTCTCCTCAGATATTCACTCCATTAAAGATAGTTACCTAAAAACACCAATCTTTTCACAGAGATTTTGAGTGAAACAGAAACCAGAAAACACCAGGCCTGTCAAGAGCTAAATCTCACATCCCCGTTGATAAACTCTGAACACAGTCTGTACTTGTATACCAGGACGAGCATGGCAGTAACTTAAAACTGGACTAGTCTACAGATCTTTTTCTTTCGGTTTTCATTCATGAACCAGGGGGCTAAGATACTCCAAAAACTGAATCCATCCCACAGAAACTCCTACAGGATCATGTCTTTTGATTAGAATTGAACTTTGGGTGATATAGTGCCCACTAATTTGGGAAATTAACATTCTTGACTTTTTAGCACCGTTGGTAACGCAGAGTCTATACTCATTTTTAAAAATCCATCCATCCCTCTGTTTACTAACCACTTCAGGTTGTGGGTTGTGGAGGAAGCCTGAGCCTATCCCATCAGGCCATTGGCACAAGGCAGGATACGCCCTGGACAGGACACCTGTCCATCACAGGGCACACACTCATGTCTCGGGCCAATTTTTCCAGAAGACGGGTAACTACCAGCATCTCTTCGGAAACCCACACAACCCAGAACATGACGGTAGAATAACTATGGCGAAGCCTGAAACACGCAGTTTCACCGCCACTCTTGGCATCATTACAAATCGACTCCGAGTCAACATGTTCCACTTTATTACAGCACATGAAGGCCGTTTGCGTTCTGGTTTCTACTCTGCGTAAAGAACCACAATCTCTGCTGGCTGACGCAACAGAAAAGTTGGGTTTTTTTTTTTTAGCCATAAGGCAGGTATGTTAGTAAGCCTGGAGGTCATCTTTGTACCTCCTGCATCCTGTCTCTGAGTCTGTCAGACTCGCCGGGATGGGCTCTGGCTCCCCCCCGGGACCCTGTACTGGATAAAGCAGGCAGGAAATGGACTGATGGTCGTTTGCCCCACGGCTGCTACTGTATATACAGCCCAATCGGAAACTACCTTTACCTTTTCAAACATTTGATTGTAAAAGGTCCTGAGAACCTGGTCCAGTACCCAGAAAAACAGAGATTGGACCTCCTGCACAGGGATGGGAGGCTCTGTGCTGTTGGGAGGCGTTGTGGTGAAGCAAGGTCCATCCAGCTTGTGGCCTTTGTTTCCTATTTTTTATTAGCTGAATCAGACTGGGATCTCCCCGAGTCTCGGCGCACCTCTGGCAGACTCCAGCCGGGGCCGAGAGCCGTGGAGTCGTTCGGGATGTCCTCTGGTTGCCATGCAACAGGGAACCTGTGTTGAGCCAGTGGGAGCCTGTGATCACTGCCACGTCGCCAGAGGGAGACGCATCACCTTCGCACGGCCTCCTGCAGGTTCCTGGGCTGCGGTACGTGAAATGGCAAAGGACTCTGAAAAGAACTTGCTTTGGCACCTGAACACCCTCCCCCCCCCAACACACACAGAGTCATGAGGTCGTAAGGGTGAGCTGTGTTGAGCAACAACCAGAGCTTATAAACGGAGAGGAACAATAAAAAAGCCATTTCCACACACTGAACGATACATTAACAGTCAGTCCATTTCTCTGTATTATTTTCAGTGTGGTTTTTATTTCCACATTTTTAATCGCATATTTACATGCATTTCAAACCTGTAACTGTGTTTTTTTTTTTTTAATCTACTGTTCTTGAATTAAATTAAACTACTTGCAACGGTCTTCTGAATTTTAGTCCAGGACAGACACAGGTAACCAGTTTTGTTTATTGCCAATTTCCAGTTGTTGCCGGATCTTAATAAAGATGCACGTGTATACTGTACATATCAATTCTCCACAACTGTAACAACAGTAGAAAATGGGTTTTTGATAGCTGAAATTAAAGTAAACCAGGACCAGTTACTCTGTTCAGCGATGCTTTTATATTTGGGGACAATTTAATCAAGATACACCATTACAAACACACTTGTTAATTGTAAGACGTCTGCAGGTAAAGACGATTGTTAGACTGTCATTGCACTTGTCAGACCACTTTCTTCGATACATTCTACTGCATGTTTCTAACAAGCAGGTGGCCATCTGTTCAAGGAAACCACGTCACTTTGCGAGCCAAGGGCAGAAAAGGAGTTATATGTTTCCCACCCACGGCTCTTCTGTAGATCTTCTGCTACTTGCAGAACTGCAGAGATTCACACGTCGTACAAATAAACTACAGTAGGTCCAGGATGGCTCAAAAATGCTCACTCGCCAGCCACCCTACTGCTTACTTTTCTTTGATCATGAGTCATGTGTTTGGAGGTGGTAGACGTTTGGTTGTGGAAAAGCCCAACAACTGCCAATGAGCGGTGAATGCTTTTTGTGAAGAACTTTTGTAGTGATTGTGGCTGTCAGTGCCGAGATGATAAAAGAACCTCCATCTCTGATTGAGATAGAAGAATGCATGTTAACCATGTATTCATACCATAGTCACTCTCGGCATTATGCTTGCTCTCCGTCTTGAAGGCAGGTCGTATTTAAGCTTTGTAACTTATAAAATAGGTTATCTGACCAAGCACATTTACTGAGCTCAGCTTCATGCCAGTAAGATAACAGAATCTATTTTTATTATCCATACTATTTTCTGGCTTGTGGTGTAGACATAAAAAGGCACGTTAAATTAAATAAGGAGACCTGTGGTGGAGTGAGAGAAGGCCCCTGGTGGAGCCCCACCATCTTGGCTCAAAGCCGGACCCTAGTGAGGCCTTGAGCCAAGATGGCTGCCGAGTAATTGGAAACAGGTGTGAAACTATTGTAGTTAAACCTTGGCTGAAGGAGTGTGGAGCATTTGGAGAGAGTGGAATCCCACATGAGGCAAAGGAAAGCTTCACAAGATAGGCCCCCTTGAAATTAGAAATGCATCCGGTAACAATTTAAGAAGCTTATTAGAGGAGAGCCAGGGACACAGCATCAGATTCCTTCCCAGAACCAGATGAGTGCATAGGAGGTGGAACTCAGCAGCATCACAAACTCCAGACAGGCAGGTGGCACTGTTGCTCATCTGCCAGGCTCAGGGGCACACTGGTCCTAGACTCTGTCTGGCAAAGCAGCAGCAGCACATTCTCTGGCTGCCGAAGCAAGGGAACTAGATTTTTGGCATCATCCAGGAAATGCAATGGCAGCTGCAGATGGAGTGACAGCTTAAGGTGTATGACAGAGAAAGGAAAATATGCTGAGATGTAATTTTGAAGAGTGGGAGATAGGCAGTGTAGAGTAAAACTGAATGGAGCAGTGGTTATCATAGCTATCTCACAGAACTGGGGCCCTGGGTTCAATTCTGGACCTGGGGTGCTGTCTGTGTGGAGTCTGTATGTTCTCCCCCAGTTTGTATGGGTTTCCTCCGGGTGCTCCAGTCTCCTCCCACAATTCAAAGACATGCTGGTAGGTTAATTGACTTCTGGGACAATTTTGTGAGTGGGTGTGTCTGCCTGCCCTGCCAAGGACTGGCGTCCCATCCAGGGTGTATCCTGCCTTCTGCCTGTTGCTTGTTGGGATGGATAGGCTCTGGCTTCCTCTGAATTGTGATGAAGTGGTTAGAAAATGGATGGATAGAAGGATTCCTTTTACAAAACTAGGCACAGAGGTATTCAAAAACAAATTCTCAAGTGTGAAAAAGCGACAGTGTGCCGATTTGAGAGGGAAGAGTCCGGGATATGAGAGAGGGAACATTCTGAGGAAAAGAACTGAGAGGATAGAAAAGATCTGCACTTCAATGAACGGAACAGCATAAGAGCTAGGTCCTGGAGGGTCTAGATAGTCTTCACATTCGAGTTGGTATTCACTTGGAAATAATAGTGGTGTCAGTCAAGCGGCAGGCTGCTAAGAACGTCCAAAAACCATGTGACAAAGCGAGTGCAAGTCATGTGAGGTGAGCTGGGGTCACAAGAGGCCAAGGGCTAGCATTGTCACCAGGCCACCTGGTGGAGAGGTGGCAAAAGTGCAGATAACGCACAACCACAGCGTGCTCAGGGAATGGTTCAAGAGACCTTCATAATCATGAAGTGTATGTGGTGGGATTTTTATTTTAAAATATTTGTCCTCTGGGCAGCACGGTCCTGTGTGTGGCGCTGTGGTTAGCACTGCTGCCTTGCAGCACTGGGGCCCTGGGTTCGATCCCTTGGGTGGCCATCTGTGTGGAGGTTGCTCTCTCTCTGTTCATGTGGATTTTTGCCAGGTGCTCTGGTTTCCTCCCATAGTCCAAAGACACAGTGGTGGGCTAATTGGCTTAGTGCGTGCGTATCTTTGGATGCGACTTGCAATGGGCTGCTATCCCATCCTGCCTTGCGTCCATGGCTTGCTGGGTTAGGCCCCAGCTCCCTCAGAGCCCTGTTCTGGATCAGCCGATAATAAAAACTGAATGGATGGATATTTGGCCTCTGTACACGTGGGTTTAAACACTTGTCCTGTTGAGCAAGAGGAGACCCTCATCCTGAATGAAATGAATTCTGGAGCAATAACTGAAGGTCATTAATGAAATGAGCCAACTGGTGCCTAGTGGTACCACTCACTGGTGATCCCAGTAATTGGCAGTTGGCCTGTGATCATGCAGGATCAGTGAGAGTATCATCTCTTCCTCCGCCTGAGGCTATAAGGCTTGCGCAGCAGATTTTGGAGTTTGGCGTGCATGGTCCTTGCACATCTTGTGTTGTTACCAGGGTAATTGCAAGATAAGTTTTGTTCCATGCTGAAAAGGGAAGAAAGGAAGCGCGTTTCAGCTGCGGAGCCTTCTTCACACACAAGAAGGCTCCACAGCCGAAACGTTGCGTTTCTTTTCTTGTACTTGTCAATGTGGAATAAAACTTAATAAAACCCACGCATGCGTGACCCAGCTCCCCCCTTGAACAATTGCAATAAAAGTCGAGGTGATCAACAAGAAGCAATTCCAATTTCCAAAACTGGGAGAGAGAGTCGCACAGCTGTGGAGATCCGGGGGTCGGCACCAGTCGGAACAGGGGCAGTCTTTTTGAAATAAAAAAAGTTTCTGTGGCTCTGTGTACTTTCACTTTCCCCCCAAAAAAACAATGCAGGAAGAAAAAAGGCTTATCTCGGCGTCCATTTTTTTTTTTGCCGGCAACTGGCAATTCATCTCATTTCTGCAGTCACATCCTCCCCTCCACAATGGACACAGCTACGTGCCCGACCCCTGCAGAGACCGATGAAAGGACCTCCAGCAAGGCCCATCACAGAGACCGCCTGGTCTCCCTGTCTCCCGCCAGAGTCAATTTGCAGATCCAATCCCATTTCACTCACAGCGAGTACTGTGTGGATTCCAACGCCTGCCACCGGGGAGGGGTTGTTATGCTGGATTAAAAGTGAATTCTCTTCCCAACGTTTCTGTGCAGACAGCAGGGATACTCGTGTCAGCTCCCGGGGATCTGATCTCGGGCTGTGTTACCATTCCCTGCTCCACAGCTGCAGTGTGAGGTTGCAGGATGGATAGGAAGCGAATGGATGCAGACAGCAGGCCATTAATTACCACACTCATTATACAACATTGTGCTCCAAGGGCAGCAGGGACTAAAGTGAACGTACAAGGGATTAAACCAGAATACGAAGGGGAGGGGAAAAAACACATCAAAATCGATCAAGTACAAAGTTGAACAAACGTAGTGACTTCCCGGCAGCGCGGGGTCTATGGACGGGATTCACGGCGCTCGAATTGATGGGATCATTGTTGTGCGCCGAAAACAAATGTTCCCAAGGCAAATTACAATGGGGCGCAGCCGCCCCTTTGATAACTTCAAAAGCTCCCCAAACCAGTCAGCTGGGCGTCGCTCGAGGACCAAAAGTCGACTCCCTCCAAGTACACTGCTGGTTTCAGGATGGGGTAGGAGGGCAAGGTAATAACAGCACAATCGGCTGCACTGATAATAATAATCAATAACGGTCAATAATCTACAGAAGAGGGACACATTTATTATAAGGGTTTCTCTCTGTGCCTATACAAAGATTAGGGTTTCATCTGCTTGTTGAATACATCTGAAAAACAGAACTCGCACTGTTCTGGACTGTTTAAAAAATGTAAGTACCATGGCGTCAGGGGATTTCTCAGGATAGTGCACATTGTTTCGAGTTTTCTCTAGTATCCAAGTGTGATCTAGGCGCGTCACTTGATTCTTGCAATATAGGAGATCAGGAATAAACAAACAGGATAGCTAACAGAAAACTAGACATGAGGGCAGTGGGATTTTTTAAGTCCAGGAAATGAAGAGCCTGTAGACTTCCTGACCTGTAGGTGTGAACACATAGAGGTGATCTGGTCCTTGAATAGTCTTTTTCAAACGTGCAAAAATGTATCTGGTGCCTATTTCTCGGGCATTTCTGTGTAATAGAAATAGACTGAGCGTAGTTTGTTGCAC